CCTCCAGGGCAACAACTACCGCCGGGAGTACATCGCCACCCAGGGGCCGCTGCCGGGCACGAAGGACGATTTCTGGAGGATGGTGTGGGAGCACGGTGTGCACAACGTTGTCATGGTGACGCAGTGTGTGGAGAAGGGACGGGTAAGAACAGGCTGATGGAGATCAAGCCATCTGGACTGTTGGTTCTGGTCGCTCTCATCTTCCTCTTACTACTCAAAAATATCTTTAAGGTTCAAGTCAGGACAGTTTGCACAACATGTTTTTCTTCCACTAAATTTTCCATTTATTAGTATCCAGAGACCAATAAATGAATTTATTTAAAGGTGCAAATGTAACATTCCATGTTGAGTTTCAACAATGTTCAATTTCCCTTTGAGATCAAACATTTACTCTCATTAAATCATTTTATTTAAAGTAAAGAAAAGCATAAAACACAGAAAGAGCTTGAAAACATTGTATTAAAGACGGTGTTGTTTTTATTTTAACTTATTTAGCATTCTGCACATGGGGGTTAAACAACAAAAACTCTTTGCTAAAGAAGCTAGATGTTCAAAAGAGGACTATAGCGAAGTATATTGATGGAAGGTTGAGTGGAAGGAAAAAATGTGGTAGAAAAATAATGTTTTATTGTCTGACATAAAGATGAGCCGACCTGAAGGCTGATCTCTTCCATGCTACGCTGCATTGATGCAGTAATTCATGCAGAAGGAGCCTCAACCACATGCTGACTGCAGATACTAGAAATAATGGATCCATTTGGACTTAATGAGCTGCAAACATCTCACTGTGTCTAGTTAACTTATTCAGAGAATTTAGAACTGCAGCTACTGATTATTTTAGTAATCAGTTATTTTACTCATTTGATAAAAAATCTATACATTCTGTAGATTTTTCATTTAACCACTTCAGCATATTTTAGACAATATAATCAATTCATTAAAAGACGCAAAAACAAATTAAATTAATTTTGAAATGTTTGTCTTTTTCCACTGTATGCTCCAGTTAGCTATTAATCGATTAATCAGTTCATCATGATTAACTGATTGATCTGCAGATGGTGAACTAGCGTGGCGTTCTGTTTGCAGGTGAAGTGTGATCAGTACTGGCCGGCCGACAAGGAGCCGCTGTACTACGGCGATCTGGTCATTCAGATGCTGTCAGAGTCCGTCCTGCCAGAGTGGACCATCAGAGAGTTCAAGATCATCTCGGTACAATTCAGCAACGATTTCCTGCAACTTCAAAACAATTCATTACAAATTAAAGGCGACCTTTTTGCACGTTTTTTGCTTCTATTTCAGTTTCAACTGCTTCTAAAAACAATCAAAAAGTTTTAAAAAACTCACCTGAGCCTTTCATGATAACATTTAGTTGAATGATAAATTATCATTCATTATCAAAGGTTATTGTGATAAATGATAATATCGTTTAGTAAGTAATATAATGTTAATGGCATAATAATAATGCAAGAACACATTGTCAAAGTTCAATAAGCTTTAATTTCTAATGAACATTTAACACTGGAATTGGAAGACGATTTAAATATACCAAATAAATAAAATGAATCATGAAATTACTGTAAACAACATTATCCTTCCAATAAAGGGCTAGTTGAGACCAGACTGAAGAGTTTTATCTTCCAGAGAAAAACAATAAATCATGTTAATGAAAATTAAAAAGTTCATTTTAATTTAAGATGTGATTTATTGATTATTGAGACAATGAATCAGCTGCTTTTTGGCAATTACCATTACACATTACCTATCAACCAGAGCAGAGTTCTGCCCATTACCTAGCAACCCCTGCTGAGCTCCAGCATGTTTGGTCAACTGGTATTACCGCTGTATGAAAAGACAAAATGTTTAATTGTTGACTTACCATCCAGAAACCACTTCCTGCATTCTTGTTGGTTGTGCAGGAGGCCCCACGTCTGCTTTTCAAAGATGTACGGTTGCATAATTGCTCATCAGTTTGCAGACATTTTCACCTGCGAGTGTAAACATTGAGTTGGGGGCGTGGCCAGCAGCAGCTTATTTTAAAGTGACAAAACGCCCTAAAATCTTATCTAAAAATGATTTTGTGTTAAAATGTGATGGACATGTTTTGCATAGGCCATAGACGTTTCCTAACTTGTTGAGGGAAATGTAATATGTGACCTTTGACCTTTAGCGCCATCCTAGAGCAGAAACTGAACTTACTTCCTGGTTCTGAAGGAGAACAGCTGCAGTTATCCACGGATGATGCGTCACTTCCACTACACGGTGTGGCCCGACCACGGCGTTCCCGAAAGCACCCAGTCCCTGATCCAGTTCGTTCGGACCGTCCGGGACTACGTGGACCGCTCACCCAGCACTGGCGCCACCGTTGTGCACTGCAGGTGGGTCGGCGATAGGCGCCCGGACCTGCGACATTTAAACAGAACCGTATTGTTCTGGGTCGTTAACCGGGTTTTGTTCTGGCAGCGCCGGAGTCGGTCGGACCGGGACCTTCGTCGCCTTGGACCGGGTTCTGCAGCAGCTGGACTCCAAGGGAGGCATCGACCTGTACGGCTGCGTGTTCGACCTGCGGCTGCACCGGCAGCACATGGTCCAGACTGAGGTACGGAACCAGAACCAGAACCAGACCGTAGCTCATTGGAGAACCCAGCAGTGTTCTGATCTGGTGTGTGTTTCAGTGTCAGTACGCCTTCCTGCATCAGTGTGTGAGGGACGTGCTGCGAGCCAGGAAGCACCGCAGCGAGCAGGAGAACCCGCTCTATCCCATCTACGAGAATTTCAACCCAGAATACTGCCGCGGTGAGTCCAGAACCAGAACCAGAACCAGGGCTCTGGTGTGGTTTCACTTAACTTTCGATTTAAATGTAGATTTTGTTTCAGTTAAGTGTTAAAAAAACACTTAAATTATCAGTACCAGCTTGTTCCTGTAGGGGGAGCACATTCTGGACACCAGGGCCGGTCCAAACCTTTTTGGGACCATAAACAGATTTTAATCTGGGGCCCCCCATCCCAGCATCTCAACAGCAGATACTACATTAAGTGTGTAACATTATAATTATTACCACTATTAGGTATTAGTTTACATCATACTGGATGTTTATTTATTTTAAGGTGTAGCAGAGAAGAAAATATGTAATAATTAATTTGCATTTTGAAATGCACAGTGGTGGCGTTTTAATGTAAGTATTTGAAAGTAAAGGAAGAACAATGAATTACCAGTAAACAAGTTGGCAAGTTTAATATCTTTTGTCTTAAAATATGGAGCAGATATAAAATGTGCGTTCTGTCGCTACGAATAAAATGAAATGATACTGTTGAGACCCTGAACTCTGATCAGAGTAAAAACTTCGGTTCTGGTGTGATTTGAATGCATATGTGAACACCAAGTGGACCAGAGCAGGAAGTGGACTACAGCGAATGGCATTCTGGGTACAACAACCAAAACAAATGTGCTAGCTTAGCACTAGTGGGAGAAATGTCTTTAGAGAAAGACAAAAGAGAAATCCTACAACTGATTAAAATTTGACGCCACTACATTATTGTTTACATTTGGTGAAACAGGAAGTTGAGCTCAATGCCTTCTTCAGAGGTTTTTGTGTTGTTTTCTTCAGAGGTTGTTGATGCAGCGCCTCCACAGGTGAGGTGAAAAAGAAAATTGCAACAGCTGAAAATGTAACAAATGTTGCAACTTTGGTTGAAAATCAAACTTTTGTATCAGTTTTATAGATAATCTTCTAACACCTCAGTTTGAGTAGCTGCTTTTTGAATAAATACAGAAAAATTATAGAGAATTCACTTCCAGTCAGGCTTCCAGATATTAATTTGATATTTAAGTGATCGATCTGATTTAAATGTCAGTTTTCTGTTTTAATCCCTCGACTCGCTGCAGTCAATGGAAAATATTAAGAATTTATATTTTTGTAAACAGAAAAGTTTGAGATATTCAAGTACAAAACAAGCAAAAATGACTTTCTGACACTAACAGAACTCTCACTGGTTTCTGTTAAAGTTCATATAAACTAGAAAATATCAGCGAGCAAACTAAACATAACTTCTAATGTAACAATCTGGACTAAGGAGAAAATAAATGTTGATTTAAATTAGAGGATTTATTAGAAATTGAACATTTCTTTGCTAATCCTCCTTCCTGTTTAGCTTAACAGCTTTATGAATTAATTTCATTAAATTTTTCATCACATCATTAAAATTGTGATTATTTCTCCTCAGATTTCATCTACAACGGACGTTAACGAGGCAACGGCGCTCAGCCAATCAGGAGAGAGGAAGCTCACCATGGAGACGTGTTCAGTAACGGGTCGGACGTTAGCAGCTAAATAAAATCTGTTTCTTTGGTCGGGATCACCAGTTTAACTGTGGTAAATCACCGTGGAAACCAAACTCATCACCAACAGGATTCAGGTTAAATGTGCTGTAAAAAAGACATTTTTACATGATATAAAACCAGTTTGTTGGGTTTTTTTTTTAAACCGATCGGTAAAAAATGCCTTCAAGTTCAGATGGTCGATCTACTAAAAAGCTCTGCTGTAAATTATTATAATTATACTTTAGTGCCATGTAAAATCAGCTGTTTTATATGTTAAACTTTTCATGAGAAGTCAGAGAAAGCTGTTGCTGCACACTACTGGTCAGCTGGCTGAAACAAGGCTTACAAAAAAAAAACTAAAGTTAGCTAGCTACCTGAGCAGATAGCCTGACTAATTATCCATCTAATATCAGCTTGTTTTAATATTATTATTAGAGCAGAAAAACAAAATATAATGTGCACATGAAAACTGTTAACATTTCTGGGTGTTTATTCTAATTTTTTTTTTTTGCTCAATTTGCAGGAATGTTAGATATTAATTTAACTGGAATATTTGTTAGATTTGTGGCATTACTGTCAACCTGTAGCATTTTCACTCAAAAGACTGTTATTGTGTTGAAATTTCAAAATACAAAAATACATATTTATCAGTAACTTAATGAATTTGTTCAATTTATCCGTTATTTTTATGAGTTTTCTATCCAGAAAACTACCAGTAATGTTTTAATCTGAAAATATAAACAGGAAACTGTAAAAACCTACAAAGACTGACACAGGAAGTGGGGTTGAAGTTGACCCAGAGCAGACAAGGTGTGAAGGGGGCGGAGCCTGTGGTATGACATCATAGCTTTCAGCTCCTCTATGCTGATTCATGTTATTCCTAACATGGCCGATGCGACTGTTTGACTCAGTCAAAGCTTAGTTTTACTCTTATGAACAAGCTTGTTGTTACCATGATGATCTAACCAGGTTAACAAGACAGATGGTGACATCACAGACCGTCCAGCACGGAGAACCTTTGAGACCAGAATCCGGTTCGGTTTGTTCTGACCCATCAACCGAACCCTAATATGATCAATAATCAATACAAGTCCATCGTTTAAAGCCCAAACTAACCTCATATTTTCACAAATTTATCAGAGAAGCTAAATTTAAATCAGAATGTTGTTATAAATGGTTCTGAAGTTGTTTGAGAAAATAAATTGCCTATTTTTCTACTTTCTCTCCTCCATATAAGCTGTTTATTTAAAGAAAACCTCACACAATGCTGTATGTAAATATTGATGTAATAGTGGTTTTCCACTGCTGGGTTTATATTTGTGTTTTCATGCTAGATTTCTGCTTCAGACTTTTAACTTTCTGCCTCAGAAAATAACTGTTTAAAACAGCTTCAGAAAATAGTTTAAACACGCCTCAAGTTTCATTTTAATAAATCAGGAATCGGATAAAATGTTTTTTTTAATGTATTTTCTTTTCTTTTTCTTTGTAATACAAAAGCCATTTTAAATGTTTTTAAAAGTTATAAAAGGTCCAGTTTGAATAATGACATTTTATAGAAAAAAAATGTAAACAAGATTTAAGGATTGTATTTTAATATAAAATACTGTTTTTTAACCTGCCATCAGAAACATGTAAACTTGATTATAAAGCTCATTAAAATTAGCTGCCATTCCAAAGTTTGTCTTTGTTTTTCTTCCAGTTTGTCACGTACTCTGCGACCCGCTGAGACGGTTCTGATCGACTTTTTTCCAGGTTTTCTGAACATCTTGGGTCGCCGTTTCAGTCCAGCTCCCGACTCTGACCTTTACGATGGTGAATTAGGAACATTGCAGAGTTGATTTGCACCAAATAACTCCAAAATTTTCAAATTAAGCTCAGAAATTTTCGAGAAAATGTTGAGAATTTCTGCATTTCAAAAATCAAACTTTTTATTTTTGAAACTCAGAAATGTTCATGTATTTTCTAAAAGTCTACTGAGATTAATCTCAAAATTTCAGAATTTTTTCGTCAAAATTTTCCTGTTCTTTTTCTATTTATCTTTTTTATACAGTCTAACAAATATTGACCTGAAGAGAAAACAAATCTGCTGCAGATAAACTTCAGAATCCAATCATTAGGAATGACAACAAATATGCTGCTTGTTGTGTTGGAAGACGGAATAAAGTGAGTTTTTTTAATGAATAAATATCTTGAGTTATACAGACTGATACTGATTAGCAATCAAGGAAAATGTTTACTGTTTAAAAGTAAAAGAACCCAGTTAGACTTGTTCTACATTTTGTTTTTTTCTACTGAAAGAAAAACTTTCTTTAGAGATCAAACTGAGCAGCACAGTTGCAGCATTTNATTTATATTCATAAAAAAGTTCTAGTTCCCTGGCAGATTATTTCACTTATAATAAGATATTTTTCCCTTTTCATAGGTGAAACAATCTGCTTATCTTTCTCATCTATATTTAAGAATTATTGGCATATATTGAAGTATATTGTTAAAAAAGCCAATTTCTAATAAACAACATGATAAATATATTTGTACATGTTAGTGTGAACATTAACTGACTGTTTCTGTTTCCCTGCAGTAATCGGAGGGTCACCAGGTGAGTTTCTCTGTAAATCTGAGGCTGAAGCAGCAGATTGTTGTTCACATGTTGTTCACATGTTGTTCACATGTTGTTCACATGTTGTTCACATGTCCCCCTCCTTCCTACAGTCCCGTCAAAGCGTGCCACTTTGAGTCCCATCTGAACAAACTGCAGGCCGACTCCAACTACCTGCTGTCTGAGGAGTTTGAGGTGATTTCAGATGAGAAATGTTTACTGCTGTTTTTCACCTTAAACATTTTCCATCCTCTACTGCTGATGTAAATCATTAAAAAGTTAATTTATTTAAATAATTTGGCTGTATTTACAACATTAAAGAAAGTTTGGTAAGCAGAACCAGGATCCTGATCTGCTCTAGACTTTGTGCTTCATCCTGGTTTTTAGCTTTCTCAGCAGATTGTAATTTCCCTTCAGTGTTAAGTGAACTCAGAACGTTCCCTGCAGAGTGAATCTCGTGTTTCTGCAGGATCTGAAGGATGTGGGCCGCAACCAGACGATGGACGTGGCCAGACTGCCGGAAAACCGCGGGAAGAACCGCTACAACAACATCCTGCCGTGTACGTTTATTCAGCAACTCAATATCTGCTGAGAAATGACATGACATTTAATTTTTGAACCAACTTCAAAGATGTTTTCATAAAGAAACTAACAGTTTGTTTTCTAATAATGGAGTTGGTTTTGTCTAGTCAGATTTAATTAACTAATTAATTGTCATTAATTTCAAGCAGCTTCAGACCGATGTTTGTTTCCGTTTCCAGACGACTCCACCCGGGTGAAGCTGTCCTACCTGGAGGATGACCCCTGCTCTGACTACGTCAACGCTAGCTATATACCTGTACGCTGTACGCACACGCACACACACACACACACACACACACACACACCACACCAACATGCCCTCACTGTCACTCCGCCTCCAGGGCAACAACTACCGCCGGGAGTACATCGCCACCCAGGGGCCGCTGCCGGGCACGAAGGACGATTTCTGGAGGATGGTGTGGGAGCACGGTGTGCACAACGTTGTCATGGTGACGCAGTGTGTGGAGAAGGGACGGGTAAGAACAGGCTGATGGAGATCAAGCCATCTGGACTGTTGGTTCTGGTCGCTCTCATCTTCCTCTTACTACTCAAAAATATCTTTAAGGTTCAAGTCAGGACAGTTTGCACAACATGTTTTTCTTCCACTAAATTTTCCATTTATTAGTATCCAGAGACCAATAAATGAATTTATTTAAAGGTGCAAATGTAACATTCCATGTTGAGTTTCAACAATGTTCAATTTCCCTTTGAGATCAAACATTTACTCTCATTAAATCATTTTATTTAAAGTAAAGAAAAGCATAAAACACAGAAAGAGCTTGAAAACATTGTATTAAAGACGGTGTTGTTTTTATTTTAACTTATTTAGCATTCTGCACATGGGGGTTAAACAACAAAAACTCTTTGCTAAAGAAGCTAGATGTTCAAAAGAGGACTATAGCGAAGTATATTGATGGAAGGTTGAGTGGAAGGAAAAAATGTGGTAGAAAAATAATGTTTTATTGTCTGACATAAAGATGAGCCGACCTGAAGGCTGATCTCTTCCATGCTACGCTGCATTGATGCAGTAATTCATGCAGAAGGAGCCTCAACCACATGCTGACTGCAGATACTAGAAATAATGGATCCATTTGGACTTAATGAGCTGCAAACATCTCACTGTGTCTAGTTAACTTATTCAGAGAATTTAGAACTGCAGCTACTGATTATTTTAGTAATCAGTTATTTTACTCATTTGATAAAAAATCTATACATTCTGTAGATTTTTCATTTAACCACTTCAGCATATTTTAGACAATATAATCAATTCATTAAAAGACGCAAAAACAAATTAAATTAATTTTGAAATGTTTGTCTTTTTCCACTGTATGCTCCAGTTAGCTATTAATCGATTAATCAGTTCATCATGATTAACTGATTGATCTGCAGATGGTGAACTAGCGTGGCGTTCTGTTTGCAGGTGAAGTGTGATCAGTACTGGCCGGCCGACAAGGAGCCGCTGTACTACGGCGATCTGGTCATTCAGATGCTGTCAGAGTCCGTCCTGCCAGAGTGGACCATCAGAGAGTTCAAGATCATCTCGGTACAATTCAGCAACGATTTCCTGCAACTTCAAAACAATTCATTACAAATTAAAGGCGACCTTTTTGCACGTTTTTTGCTTCTATTTCAGTTTCAACTGCTTCTAAAAACAATCAAAAAGTTTTAAAAAACTCACCTGAGCCTTTCATGATAACATTTAGTTGAATGATAAATTATCATTCATTATCAAAGGTTATTGTGATAAATGATAATATCGTTTAGTAAGTAATATAATGTTAATGGCATAATAATAATGCAAGAACACATTGTCAAAGTTCAATAAGCTTTAATTTCTAATGAACATTTAACACTGGAATTGGAAGACGATTTAAATATACCAAATAAATAAAATGAATCATGAAATTACTGTAAACAACATTATCCTTCCAATAAAGGGCTAGTTGAGACCAGACTGAAGAGTTTTATCTTCCAGAGAAAAACAATAAATCATGTTAATGAAAATTAAAAAGTTCATTTTAATTTAAGATGTGATTTATTGATTATTGAGACAATGAATCAGCTGCTTTTTGGCAATTACCATTACACATTACCTATCAACCAGAGCAGAGTTCTGCCCATTACCTAGCAACCCCTGCTGAGCTCCAGCATGTTTGGTCAACTGGTATTACCGCTGTATGAAAAGACAAAATGTTTAATTGTTGACTTACCATCCAGAAACCACTTCCTGCATTCTTGTTGGTTGTGCAGGAGGCCCCACGTCTGCTTTTCAAAGATGTACGGTTGCATAATTGCTCATCAGTTTGCAGACATTTTCACCTGCGAGTGTAAACATTGAGTTGGGGGCGTGGCCAGCAGCAGCTTATTTTAAAGTGACAAAACGCCCTAAAATCTTATCTAAAAATGATTTTGTGTTAAAATGTGATGGACATGTTTTGCATAGGCCATAGACGTTTCCTAACTTGTTGAGGGAAATGTAATATGTGACCTTTGACCTTTAGCGCCATCCTAGAGCAGAAACTGAACTTACTTCCTGGTTCTGAAGGAGAACAGCTGCAGTTATCCACGGATGATGCGTCACTTCCACTACACGGTGTGGCCCGACCACGGCGTTCCCGAAAGCACCCAGTCCCTGATCCAGTTCGTTCGGACCGTCCGGGACTACGTGGACCGCTCACCCAGCACTGGCGCCACCGTTGTGCACTGCAGGTGGGTCGGCGATAGGCGCCCGGACCTGCGACATTTAAACAGAACCGTATTGTTCTGGGTCGTTAACCGGGTTTTGTTCTGGCAGCGCCGGAGTCGGTCGGACCGGGACCTTCGTCGCCTTGGACCGGGTTCTGCAGCAGCTGGACTCCAAGGGAGGCATCGACCTGTACGGCTGCGTGTTCGACCTGCGGCTGCACCGGCAGCACATGGTCCAGACTGAGGTACGGAACCAGAACCAGAACCAGACCGTAGCTCATTGGAGAACCCAGCAGTGTTCTGATCTGGTGTGTGTTTCAGTGTCAGTACGCCTTCCTGCATCAGTGTGTGAGGGACGTGCTGCGAGCCAGGAAGCACCGCAGCGAGCAGGAGAACCCGCTCTATCCCATCTACGAGAATTTCAACCCAGAATACTGCCGCGGTGAGTCCAGAACCAGAACCAGAACCAGGGCTCTGGTGTGGTTTCACTTAACTTTCGATTTAAATGTAGATTTTGTTTCAGTTAAGTGTTAAAAAAACACTTAAATTATCAGTACCAGCTTGTTCCTGTAGGGGGAGCACATTCTGGACACCAGGGCCGGTCCAAACCTTTTTGGGACCATAAACAGATTTTAATCTGGGGCCCCCCATCCCAGCATCTCAACAGCAGATACTACATTAAGTGTGTAACATTATAATTATTACCACTATTAGGTATTAGTTTACATCATACTGGATGTTTATTTATTTTAAGGTGTAGCAGAGAAGAAAATATGTAATAATTAATTTGCATTTTGAAATGCACAGTGGTGGCGTTTTAATGTAAGTATTTGAAAGTAAAGGAAGAACAATGAATTACCAGTAAACAAGTTGGCAAGTTTAATATCTTTTGTCTTAAAATATGGAGCAGATATAAAATGTGCGTTCTGTCGCTACGAATAAAATGAAATGATACTGTTGAGACCCTGAACTCTGATCAGAGTAAAAACTTCGGTTCTGGTGTGATTTGAATGCATATGTGAACACCAAGTGGACCAGAGCAGGAAGTGGACTACAGCGAATGGCATTCTGGGTACAACAACCAAAACAAATGTGCTAGCTTAGCACTAGTGGGAGAAATGTCTTTAGAGAAAGACAAAAGAGAAATCCTACAACTGATTAAAATTTGACGCCACTACATTATTGTTTACATTTGGTGAAACAGGAAGTTGAGCTCAATGCCTTCTTCAGAGGTTTTTGTGTTGTTTTCTTCAGAGGTTGTTGATGCAGCGCCTCCACAGGTGAGGTGAAAAAGAAAATTGCAACAGCTGAAAATGTAACAAATGTTGCAACTTTGGTTGAAAATCAAACTTTTGTATCAGTTTTATAGATAATCTTCTAACACCTCAGTTTGAGTAGCTGCTTTTTGAATAAATACAGAAAAATTATAGAGAATTCACTTCCAGTCAGGCTTCCAGATATTAATTTGATATTTAAGTGATCGATCTGATTTAAATGTCAGTTTTCTGTTTTAATCCCTCGACTCGCTGCAGTCAATGGAAAATATTAAGAATTTATATTTTTGTAAACAGAAAAGTTTGAGATATTCAAGTACAAAACAAGCAAAAATGACTTTCTGACACTAACAGAACTCTCACTGGTTTCTGTTAAAGTTCATATAAACTAGAAAATATCAGCGAGCAAACTAAACATAACTTCTAATGTAACAATCTGGACTAAGGAGAAAATAAATGTTGATTTAAATTAGAGGATTTATTAGAAATTGAACATTTCTTTGCTAATCCTCCTTCCTGTTTAGCTTAACAGCTTTATGAATTAATTTCATTAAATTTTTCATCACATCATTAAAATTGTGATTATTTCTCCTCAGATTTCATCTACAACGGACGTTAACGAGGCAACGGCGCTCAGCCAATCAGGAGAGAGGAAGCTCACCATGGAGACGTGTTCAGTAACGGGTCGGACGTTAGCAGCTAAATAAAATCTGTTTCTTTGGTCGGGATCACCAGTTTAACTGTGGTAAATCACCGTGGAAACCAAACTCATCACCAACAGGATTCAGGTTAAATGTGCTGTAAAAAAGACATTTTTACATGATATAAAACCAGTTTGTTGGGTTTTTTTTTTAAACCGATCGGTAAAAAATGCCTTCAAGTTCAGATGGTCGATCTACTAAAAAGCTCTGCTGTAAATTATTATAATTATACTTTAGTGCCATGTAAAATCAGCTGTTTTATATGTTAAACTTTTCATGAGAAGTCAGAGAAAGCTGTTGCTGCACACTACTGGTCAGCTGGCTGAAACAAGGCTTACAAAAAAAAAACTAAAGTTAGCTAGCTACCTGAGCAGATAGCCTGACTAATTATCCATCTAATATCAGCTTGTTTTAATATTATTATTAGAGCAGAAAAACAAAATATAATGTGCACATGAAACTGTTAACATTTCTGGGTGTTTATTCTAATTTTTTTTTTTTGCTCAATTTGCAGGAATGTTAGATATTAATTTAACTGGAATATTTGTTAGATTTGTGGCATTACTGTCAACCTGTAGCATTTTCACTCAAAAGACTGTTATTGTGTTGAAATTTCAAAATACAAAAATACATATTTATCAGTAACTTAATGAATTTGTTCAATTTATCCGTTATTTTTATGAGTTTTCTATCCAGAAAACTACCAGTAATGTTTTAATCTGAAAATATAAACAGGAAACTGTAAAAACCTACAAAGACTGACACAGGAAGTGGGGTTGAAGTTGACCCAGAGCAGACAAGGTGTGAAGGGGGCGGAGCCTGTGGTATGACATCATAGCTTTCAGCTCCTCTATGCTGATTCATGTTATTCCTAACATGGCCGATGCGACTGTTTGACTCAGTCAAAGCTTAGTTTTACTCTTATGAACAAGCTTGTTGTTACCATGATGATCTAACCAGGTTAACAAGACAGATGGTGACATCACAGACCGTCCAGCACGGAGAACCTTTGAGACCAGAATCCGGTTCGGTTTGTTCTGACCCATCAACCGAACCCTAATATGATCAATAATCAATACAAGTCCATCGTTTAAAGCCCAAACTAACCTCATATTTTCACAAATTTATCAGAGAAGCTAAATTTAAATCAGAATGTTGTTATAAATGGTTCTGAAGTTGTTTGAGAAAATAAATTGCCTATTTTTCTACTTTCTCTCCTCCATATAAGCTGTTTATTTAAAGAAAACCTCACACAATGCTGTATGTAAATATTGATGTAATAGTGGTTTTCCACTGCTGGGTTTATATTTGTGTTTTCATGCTAGATTTCTGCTTCAGACTTTTAACTTTCTGCCTCAGAAAATAACTGTTTAAAACAGCTTCAGAAAATAGTTTAAACACGCCTCAAGTTTCATTTTAATAAATCAGGAATCGGATAAAATGTTTTTTTTAATGTATTTTCTTTTCTTTTTCTTTGTAATACAAAAGCCATTTTAAATGTTTTTAAAAGTTATAAAAGGTCCAGTTTGAATAATGACATTTTATAGAAAAAAAATGTAAACAAGATTTAAGGATTGTATTTTAATATAAAATACTGTTTTTTAACCTGCCATCAGAAACATGTAAACTTGATTATAAAGCTCATTAAAATTAGCTGCCATTCCAAAGTTTGTCTTTGTTTTTCTTCCAGTTTGTCACGTACTCTGCGACCCGCTGAGACGGTTCTGATCGACTTTTTTCCAGGTTTTCTGAACATCTTGGGTCGCCGTTTCAGTCCAGCTCCCGACTCTGACCTTTACGATGGTGAATTAGGAACATTGCAGAGTTGATTTGCACCAAATAACTCCAAAATTTTCAAATTAAGCTCAGAAATTTTCGAGAAAATGTTGAGAATTTCTGCATTTCAAAAATCAAACTTTTTATTTTTGAAACTCAGAAATGTTCATGTATTTTCTAAAAGTCTACTGAGATTAATCTCAAAATTTCAGAATTTTTTCGTCAAAATTTTCCTGTTCTTTTTCTATTTATCTTTTTTATACAGTCTAACAAATATTGACCTGAAGAGAAAACAAATCTGCTGCAGATAAACTTCAGAATCCAATCATTAGGAATGACAACAAATATGCTGCTTGTTGTGTTGGAAGACGGAATAAAGTGAGTTTTTTTAATGAATAAATATCTTGAGTTATACAGACTGATACTGATTAGCAATCAAGGAAAATGTTTACTGTTTAAAAGTAAAAGAACCCAGTTAGACTTGTTCTACATTTTGTTTTTTTCTACTGAAAGAAAAACTTTCTTTAGAGATCAAACTGAGCAGCACAGTTGCAGCATTTTGCATCACTGGGGCTGAATGTTAAACTTGTGATTTCCACATTGATCTGGGCCACAGCGAGGCCGGAGCAGAACTGGGTGACCCAGTTGGAGCGCTGATGGAGGCGAGGAGCCCCGAATCCAGCTGGGCCTTCCCTCTGTGAGTGAAACACCCAGAAAAATGCAGTTTTATTAAACCTAACGACATGAATTTGAAAAGACAAGAAATGAAAATCAGCAGATGCTTTTAGTTTATGGAGGATCTTAAAATAAAAAAACATCTTGTTTAGTGAGAAGTTCAAACTTGTTTTAGATCAATTTAAAAGTAAACCAAACATCATGGTCACCGTTAATTATTAGCAACCTGGTATCTCACAAATGTAGAGTTTTAAATTCACGTGAAAGTAATTTATGTTTCTTGAACAGGTTAAGGATAAATGTGGGCTACAAAAAACGTACATAAAAGCTTTTGCACCAAATCATTATTGCTTCAGATTGGTCTGGTCATTTCAGAATTAATTGTTTTAGGGCCACTGTCTTTTAAAATCTAAATAAGAAGCTGTTTGCCGTGAAAACCATGACTCATAGTATATAATGTCAAATTTCAGCAAAAATGAATCATAGTATAGTATTATGTAAATGTTGAGCAAAAATTAGTCATAGTGTATAGTATGAGATAAAATTGTAAAAATGAGCAAAATGAGTCATAGTATAGTATGGCATAAAAATGAGCAAAAATGACTCGTATTATAGTATGATGTAAAATTGAGCAAAAAAGCTGCTATGTGTTCTCTCAGTCTCCCTTACTGCAGCCATTTCTGTGTTTATCCTCACCCTCATACTGTTTGCTCTTTTTTTCTCTTCTTTCTTCCTGTGCCCTCTCTGCAACTGGTCGAAACAGATGGCGGCACCTTGTTTTTTTTTTTTGTTTTTTTTTTGGCTCACTTTCTGTGAGAAGTTTAACATTTAGGGATGAACTGAGAGCTAAACCAGGAATAGATGATTACAAGGTAAAAGCCATACTCTGTACCCAGGTTTTTAAGCACATTGCTCTCCTAAAAATACACATCGATCTAAAATATAAAAACAAAAATTATACAGCATGGGAAGATTTACATTATAAGAAAAAAAACTGTCATTATTCAAAATAGCATCAGTTTAAAAATAAAAAGTGCAGCTGACAGCAGGGCCGAGCGCAAATCGTGACACGCACCTACTAATGGCACTTCCGGTGGCAGGTGTCATTATGCGCCACAAGTGCCACTGTTTTCGGGGCTAGCGGTCAGTGTTGTCACTGCCTTCGTCTGACCTCGGCACCTCGTACTGGCACTTCCTCTGACACCTGCCATTAGTGCCACTCTTTTCGGGGATACCGGTCAGTGTCGTCACTGCCTTCGTTTGACTTCGGCTGACCTCGGCGCCTCATAGTGGCACTTCCGCTGACACCTGCCATCAGTGCCACTGTTTACCTTATTTGGAAATGGGACCATTGCACTCCGGAAGTGAAGGTGGCGCTATTTCCTACGTTATCCGCGTTCTCCGGTTTAAATTTTCTTTTGAAATCTGTGATGTAGCTTCATCTGTAGGAAGGAGTTTCACTCTCAGCATGTATTTCAGCGTCTCTTTTTTATTTACTTTAGCGCAGCTCACAGCTTTTAACAAATTCCCTAGCTTTCTGTGTACTTTTAAATCTGCTTCTTAGTCGCATCTTTTCGGGCCTGCTACTGCCTCTAGTGGCGTGGGTTACACAACTAATATAATTATGTCACTAAACGAGAATATCACAAAATCTTTATTATTTACTATTAATTTCGCCATTTCTGGCAACGTGAAAGATAAATTGTCTTCTAAAATACCATATTTTTCTTCAGGATGTAGAGCTAATTAGGTGACATAAAGAACAACTTTATACATTATAAATAACATCTATATATCTCCATCACTTATAAGAGGAAGAAAAGAAATAAGACATGAAAAACATTATCAACAATAAAAATACCAAATACAAAATATACATGATAAATTTAATGAGCAAAAGTCAATTAATTAGGTTCACAGATGAATAACCAGGATTGTTAAACAAGCAATAATCCATATTTTTCTTTTGTTGGTAGAGTCCTATATATAGGAAAAAATATGATTAAACTATTTAGTCTTCCAAGGTGGAAATTTTGCTTTGACTCAAAGAATAAAATAAAACTAATTAATAGAATCATATCAACAATTTGTGCATCAAGTAAACACTTAGCATGCTACAGGTAAATGTTATCATTTAATTTGGCTAAGAATAATTATTGCACTGTCAGTGAATGACTTCTAATAGATGCCGTATATTTACCAGAGGAACACAATAACGCCTTCATGAGCTCAAAGTGACGAAAAAAAAGGATGGATGCTCTAAACAGTTTAGAGCAGCGGTTCTTAACCTGGGTTCGATCGAACCCCAGGGGTTCGATGAGTCGGTCTCGGGGGTTCGGCGGAGTCTCTGCCGCGGAGGTAAAAACACACTTGTGTGAAGTCGTGATGACCTTAATAGTAGGTAATGTTGAAAACAATAACACAATCTTAATATCAACAGAGATTTTTAAATTCTATAACAACTTGTATACCTCCAAATTCTCAGAACCAAAATCTCTTACCTTTTTTAAAAACAATTGAAACATTTATCCCTAAAATTGAAGATAATTTCAAACAAACTTGTGACAACAATATTACGATAGAAGAACTTGATAAGAACTTGTTTAATGATAATCGCTTATCATTAAGCAAAGCACCAGGTCCAGATGGACTCACAGGGAACTTTTATAAACACTTTTGGGAAGACATAAAATTTTTACTACATCAAGTTTTTACAGAAATTTTTAAAAATCGTACTATACCTACTACAATGAAACAAGGAATTATTATTTGTATCCCCAAACCAGACAAGGACCCAATATTTATTGAGAATAGAAGACCAATTACACTCAGAGATTCAGATTATAAATTACTAACATACATATTTATCATGCGTCTCCAAACAGGTAACTCAAATATTATTGCTGAATCGCAGTGTGGCTTCTTAAAAGGAAGATCAATCCACAACAACATTAGACTGGTAAAGGACCTGATTGAATATAGAGACATGATTAAAGATGATGACTTTATTCTTTTCCTTGACTTTTATAATGCCTTTGACTCGGTTGAACAATTCTTATTCTCAGTTCTTGAAAATCTAGGCTTTGGAGCAAACTTTATTAACTTAATTAAAGACCTATATCAAAACATAAGTAGTTGTGTAATACTGCCTAAGGGCACCACAGCTAGATTTAACATTAATGTTGGAATTCCTCAAGGGCAGGGGTGCCCAAGTCCAGTCCTCGAGAGCTACCATCCTGCAACTTTCCGATGCATCCCTGCTTCAACACACCTGTATCAAATGAATGGCTCGTTATCAGGCCTCTGTAGAGCTGATCCCGGTCTGTTGGAGTAAGGATACTTTTAAAACTTGCAAGACGGTAGCTCTCGAGGACTGGACTTGGGCACCCCTGCTCAATGGTGTCCCATTTCCCCATATCTCTAATGTAGTTGCAGAGATGTTAGCAATCTATCTTAAAAATTGTGAAGACATTGAGAAATTAGATGTTTTTGGTACAGAATTAATCATTAGCCAGTTAGCAGATGACACCACCGTTTTCTTAAAAAATTACAAGCAAGTTCCAATTGTAATTGATAAAATTAAACTTTTTTCAGAGGTTTCGGGTCTAATGCTAAACTTAAAAAAATGTGAATTTATGGCTATTCATGACACTTCCCTAAAAGAAATATATAGCTGTAAGGGACCAGACTCAAACGAAGACAAAAAATGTTCAAAGTAGAAAAAGTCTTGGTTTTAATTCTTCAAAAAATTGTTGACAAAGCATAAAGATTTAAAGCAAGAATAAATCAAAGAATAAATAACAAATTTAGATCCAAATTAACTGAGGTCAACTGAGCTCTAAACACAAGCAAAACTGACCTACCAAACAAAGAACAAAGGCTGCTTAAATAGGGGTGGAGAAACCCAAATCTACCACTTGAGGGAGGTCTGATCTAACAAAAGAACAAATAA